GTATCCAACAGAACTCCAACAGAACTCTCACAGAACTCTCACAGAACCGACAGAACTGTGTATCCAACAGAACTCCAACAGAACTCCAACAGAACTGGTTAGACCAGGAAGTACTGACATTTTAAAGAGCTGTTTTCCCGGTTCATCTGGGAGTATTCCCATTGGCCAGAACCGACCAGACGGGGTGTGTTTTGTGACGTAAAAGGTTAGAATGCAGCAAGAATTGTTATGGAACAGATCAGAAATGTTCTCACAGACAGAGAGAGTTTTGTTTTGGCGAGTTTCAGAAACAGGTGCCAAACCCCCCTGTTGACGTCTGAGAGGATTCTAAAAACATGACAGTTCGTTCCAACAACTTGTTTTGCGTTTGACTCCAACCTTGGACCAACTTACACTTGCTCATTCAAAGACAGAAAATCAGAAAATGCATAATTACTCTGTAACAGCTTTAACATGAGTTCTAACTGCATGAGAATTAAAAATCATTACACAGTTAATAAAATTGATTAGTTCACTGCAACATCTAAAATGGTTTGAACTAAGACACTTTGATTATCAACATTTGTAAAATAGTAATGATAATAAAAAAGAGAGTGTTCTTTTCACTTGAATCTTCAAGAAAGAAAGTCTCAGGATGGGTGAACCTGTATTTCTGGATTCAAATCAATGAAATGACAGTTTCTGTCCCACAAGGTTCTTAAGGTCAAGGGTTTTGACCTTAGACTTAGTTTGACATCAGCTTAAGTTCACTACATGGGTGAGGGGAACTCTGGTGGTGGTGTTGAGTATTCTCCATTAACCACATGGAATGGATTTGTTCATGGAAAAAATAGAAGCAGTGCTGGATGAACTAATGTGGTTCTGCGAGGCCTCCTCTGTCTGAAGAGCCATCAGCCATGGTACCATGGAGGTCTGGATTTAAGAGCAGAAATGTTTATGTACAGATAAAAGTAAACCAACAAAGTCCATGTTCAATAACCCAGGTATACAATCCAACATTTTTCAGTCAGGTCATCTGGACAGTTTCTTTTTTTTTGGTGCTAAAACGTTTCACTTTCCATCCAGATAGCTTAATTAGTCGAGGAAACACACAACACAAAGCTGATTCTTCCCCCAACAGCTTACTCGAAAGTGGCACAAACCAGTTATGTACCGGAGGAGGGGGCGTGCCAAAGAGACCATCTTAGCACCAACATAACTGGTTTGTTCCACTTTGGAATAAGCTGTTGGGAGAAGAATCAGTTTTGTGTTGTGTGTTTCCTTGACTGATGAAGCCTTCTGGATCGAAGGCGAAATGTTTCAGCACAAAAAAAAAAAAAAAGAAACTGACCAGATGGCCTGACTGAAAAATGTTGGAGATAATGGTAACATTTTTTCTTCTTCTTTCAGCTGGGGGAGTGGTGGTGCAGAGGTTAAAGAAGGTGGGCCTCTGATCGGAAGATCGCCGGTTCAAGCCCCGGTACCGACAACATAAAAAATGTGGGTGGGGTAGGTGAAGCACCCACACCTGCCCCCACCCTAATTCGTCCCACTCTGGGCCCTTGAGCAAGGCCCTTAACCCCCACCATCTGCTCCTCTGGGTGTCCTAGATAGCAGCTCTCTGCTCCACACAGAGGGCTGTGGTAGCTCGGTGTCTGTGGTTGCGTCAGGAAGGACATCCGGCGTAAAAATAACTGCCAACTCTTTGTGCGCCTTAGTTCGCTGTGGCGACCCCCAACGCAGGGAACAGCCGAAAGAAGAAGACGAAAAAAGAGGGCGGTTTTCATTCTGATTTTGCAGGTAAAAAATTTTTTGGGTGGGTGGGGATAATTTGGACGGATTTGGAGTCAGATCTGCAGTTTTTGAGTTAACCTATTAAACACATTTCAAACAATCATTCATCATTATTGGTTCAAAATTCCCCTGACCCTTCTCCATCACTGATTGCCTATTGTCATCTGCCAGAGCATGCACAACAGAGAACTGCTGAGGCAGTTTTAGTGGATACCTCATTGAGTGGGCTGGCCCATTGTGGCGGTACATCGGAGCGCCCGCCATATTGAATGTTGCAGAACTGCCGGTCAACTTATAAAGGAAATGCACTGAACTTTATAAAGCACCGTTCTACAAATTGTTTTATGTTAATACCAGTCATTCACACACACTAATATATTTGGAAAACAAACATGCAACAAAGACAACATTTGTAACTTTTAAAGTGATTATTACAAATGTTTACTCCTAAAATATTTAGGTTAACGGTAAGTACTAAACCAACATATGCATTATTTTGGATGTATGTATGTATGTTTTATTTATTCATTTCATTTCATCCAAACAACAAATATAATACAATTTAAAGAAAAGAAAAAAGATATACAATCACCGAAATAAAATGAAAGGCAGCAGAAGAAGAATGAATTCTTATAAAATCTGCCCCTTGTCCCCAAAATATATTCCAAACAAAATTACTATACAAAAGCAAGATGAATTAATAAAAAAATAAAAAGATAAAAAATAATTTAAAAAACTTAGCTAAAATATAAGATCAACTGTAAATAATTTTTATGAACTCACATTATACTTAATATTTTTTTAAATAACAAATTTTTATCATCTTCTTGAATATGTACATAGTTTTGGCATTTTTAATATCAACCTCCAGATCATTCCACAATCTAACACCCTGAGATCTAGTGGATCACATCTTCAGACTGGTGCGACACCACGGCTTCACAAACATCTCCATCCCCTTAAGATAATAATTACTTTCTCTTTTAACAAATTTCCCTTGAATGTTAGTAGGTAGTATGTTTTTGTTGGCCCCATACATAAACAGTAAGATATTGTAATCAACCAAGTCATAAAATTTTAATATCTTTAGCTGATGAAACAATATATTTGACGGATGGTTATAATTTTTTCTGGTAATAATTCTTATGGCTCT